AATTTGAAAAAGAGTTTAGTTAACAGTGTTTTTTTTGTTAATAATTAATTTTTTGAATTGAATTTTAAAAAGAGTTTGGTTATGACTGTTGATCAAAATTACAATAGAGTTTTGAATTGTTGTTTGATTATGAGTTATAGCTTTTTGAATTAAGTTTTGAAAACTTTTTTCAAAACTCATAACCAAACAAAATTTCTTATTGCACATGTCACATCAAACTTTCAAAATTCAATTCAACACTCAACTCAAAATTCAATTCAACACTTTATTCAAAAATCATAACTAAACAAATTTTCTACACTCAAATCATAATTCTAAAACTCACAAACTCAAAATACAACTCTATTCTCAAATCATATTTAGAAAACTCTACCAAACGCTACCTTAACTAGTCTCCTATACAATAATAAAATTACCTGAATTATTAATTAAAACAAATTTCTGACATCATTAAAAATATTAATTGACTTATAACAAGGACCATTTGTTATGAAATTTGAAATTTCAATAGGCGGAATGTAATTTTTAGAATCACATGGAACAAATTGTATTTTAAGCAAATATTATAGAGTGTATTTATATTTTATCAAAATATTTTATGTATAACTCACTTCTCTAACACAAACTCAAATACGCCCCCGAGGTTTGATCACAATATGAATCGTCCTCTGTGGTTTTGGAAATTACACTCCACCCCTGAGGTTTATAATTTTATAACAAATCGCCTATTTAATTAAAAAATTATCAAGTTAATTAACAATTTTTAATGATGTTAGAAATATGTTTCAATTAATAATTTAGGTAATTTTATTATTGTATAGGAGAGTGATTATGAATTTTATTTTTTTCGTTAATTTCGTTAAATAAAAAATTCTAATAAAAGGGTATTTTTAATTTTTCAATTCATAAAAAATAATCTGCATTTTAAACAAATTTCAAAAACTGTATTTATAGTTTGAAAAATGCTCGAGGCCCCTATTTTTAGTAACCCTCACAATTCCCAATTAATTTATGACCACTCATTTTATTTTTTGTTTTTTTATTCTTCTCTCTCTTCTCTCTCTCTCTCGCAAATGCTGTCTTGCTTATGAGGGTCTGGAGTATAGATGTTATAATTTAACCATTTTATTAACTTATAGGGCCACCTCTCTCAGAAGTGATGACATCTGTCACGACCCCAAACCGCCCCTAGTAGTTTGGTGCCGTGATGGCCAGTAATCCGTAATTACCGAAGGCCAACTTTCAAAAGTTAAACACAATCAGAGTATAATAAACGGGGCCTAGAGCTTCTCTCTCTAAAGGCAAAGATTTGAGACAAAATGATGTGTTTCAAGGTCTGCCGGCTGTCTTAACAATCAGCTCGGACACGTGGCGCTATCGGGTTGGTTCAGCTCAAAAAGGTGATTGATTGATAAGACAAGTCTCTGACAAAGCGTATGTAGCAAGCTCGGTAAAACACATCGGCAATAAATGACATCGGCTCAAATCAAGGATCCGGCAATAGGATAACAAAACATCGGCTAGGGAGGACGACACTTGACTAAGCTGTGCCACACCTTGGCCGGGGTGTGCCACATCTCGGCCTAGGCCATACCTGCCTGCAGACAAGGTTCACTGGGTGCAAAACATCTCGGCAATAAATGCCCGAGGTGAAGATGGGGGTCGACCAAGGTCTCAAAACAGTTCTAAGTACAAGGGTTCAAAGGCGAACTAAGCTCAAGAGGACCTCGGCCACACACACACCACGCAAGGATCAAAATCATGCTAGCAACTTTAAGCAAATCAAGGCAAGATAAAACCTTCAAAACAAAATAACAAGGCAGGATCATGCAGGAATGTATGCAAGTATGACAAGAGTAAGGTGAGGGTTGTTACAACATCCTTGTGGGGGCCATCCATTTCTCAATCTACCAACCAATCAAACCAACAATACACTATATATTGTGAGTGTTTGGAAAGTTAATTACTTTAATAAGTTATTTTAATAGATTAAATTTTTAAATTTGGGAAGATAATTAGATTTTTTTATAATTGAATGTGATATTTGTAAGAGAAAAAATGAAATGATTATAAATTTAATGTGATATTTTATTTTATTAATCATTTTAACTTATTTTAACTTTTTACAAATTTTAACTAAAAAATAACCCAAAATCTCCTTGCTAAACAGGACTATTAATGAAGTTTTGAGAATGTTTGGAGGGGCCGCAGGGATTTGGATCCTCTCCAGCAGTCCTCCTTCCAGCACTGTTCTACACTTTTAACCAGATGGTGACACGTGGCTAGGAGAAGATCTAAGGCTCTAAAACGTATCCACGTCACAGAGAAGAAGGAAATTAATGGAACCTTCTTGTTAGCAAAACTATGCCGTTTTGTCTTAATGGAGAAGAACAATTATGGACGGAATTTTGTTTTCTTTTGTTTTTTGTGATTAACATATTTAGAACTTCAAATGAATCAGAAAGCAATCGTCCTCTTCTCTTCATTTTAGCCATAGTTGTAGATTCGATTCAAAGAGGAATTCGGGTTAGAAGAACTGCCAGAGTGCACAACAACAGTGCCATCGGCAAGAACCCTCCACCTATCAGATTCCATTTCGTGAAGGGAAGAGCTTACTTGATCTTCTTCTTTGCAATTCAAGGACATAGATGATAGATAAAAAAATTTAATTTGCAATTCATATCAAGAAAGGAAAAAAACAAAACAATTGATGAATAATAAACAACCAATGTACCTGTTACTTGTTGGAGCTTAAATTCTCAAAATGAGCAATGCAAATGGATTTAAAGTGAGCGTCAACAAAGCTTAAATTCCAAGTGAGCATCAACAATATCAACCTTAAGAGCATAAAAACAACACACACCAAAAAAAAAAAAAAAAACTTTAGATAAGCATGGAATCCTAAGTCCAACAGACTAAAATTTTCAATCCAATACACTAAAAATTTCAAACAAAGCAGATCGAAAAACGTCGACACCATTGTTACTATGTTCTTTCCTTCTTTTGTCTATGGAGATTGGGAGATCTAGGGCTGAAGTAAAGTGAGAAGAGGAGTAAGATATGATTTGGGGCGACGCTATTGTTCTTCCTTTGGTTGTTTATTATTCATCAATTGTTTTGTTTTTTTTCCTTTCTTGATATGAATTGCAAATTAAATTTTTTATCTATCATCTATGTCCTTGAATTGCAAAGAAGAAGATCAAGTAAGCTCTTCCCTTCATGAAATGGAATCTGATGGGTGGAGTGTTCTTGCCGATGGCGCTGTTGTTGTGCACTTTGGCAATTCTTCTAACCTGAATTCTTCTTTGAATCGAATCTACAACTATGACTGAAATGAAGAGAAGAGGACGACTGCTTTTCTGATTCATTTGAAGTTCTGAATATGTTATCACAAAAAACAAAAGAAAACAAAATTCCGTCCATAATTGTTCTTCTCCGTTAAGACAAAACGACGTAGTTTTGCTAACAAGAAGGTTCCATTAATTTTCTTCATTCTTTGTGAGGTGGATACGTTTTAGAGCCTTAGATCTTCTCTCAGTCACGTGTCGCCATCTTATTAAGGCCTGGTTTGACATGTTTTGAAAAAGATAAAAAGTCAAAAAGTTATATAAAATGCTAAAAAGTTATCATTATTCACAAAAAAAAAATAAATACAAAAAAAAAATTTACACATAAAAAAATACAACTCAACTTTTTGCTGAAGTGATGGGCTATCCGCGTGATTGGTCTGCTGTACTGGTCTAGAAATGATTGCCTCATTCGCGGGCAACCATTTAGACAGTGCCGTTCGACCCGTGGGGGCCACCACGGGTCACATTTTGATAATCTGAACCATGCAATATGTAGAACTCGTTGAATACTATATGCATGTAAAAAATCACGTTGATCGGATATCGCTAACTATATGATCAAATCAGTTTTGTACAAAAAAAGGATGGTGTTATAGTTAACTAGTGAACAAAAACTAATCTAATCAATGTGATTTCGATATCCGATCAATGTGATTTTTTATTCAGATCAATGTGATTTTTTGCAGGCATATAGTACTCGACGAGTTCTATTCATTAAACAGCTCAGATTATCAAAATGGGACTCGTGGTGGCCTCACGGGCCGAACAATACAATCCAATGGTTGCCCGCGGAGGAGGCAATCATGTCCTAATCTCCTACACTCTGCCTAGAAAAATGTGTCGTACAGCCTATTACACTTACTTCTCTTATACACTTATTTATACAATTTTTTATTACACATTTTTTCGTAAAAAGGCAAAAAATTAACCCAAACATTTATCTTTTTCTACTCAACTTTTTAGTCCAAAAAAATAAAAAAAAAATGTACTTATTTAGGGCCAATATGTAGAACTCGTTGAATACTATATGCATGTAAAAAATCACATTGATCGGATATCGCTAACTATATGATCAAATCAGTTTTGTACAAAAAAAAGGATGGTGTTATAGTTAACTAGTGAACAAAAACTAATCTAATCAATGTGATTTCGATATCCGATCAATGTGATTTTTGGTAAACATATAGTACTCGACGGGTTCTACATATTAAACGGTTCAGATTATCAAAATAGGACTCGTGGTGGGCCCCACGAGCCGAACACAGTTCAAATAGTTGCCCGTGAAGGAGGCAATCATGTCCTTATCTCTTACACTTTGCCCAAAAAAAGATGCAGTATAGCCTATTACACTTACTTATCCTATGCACTTATTTATACAAGTTTTATTACATATTTTTTCATAAAAAGACAAAAAATTAACTCAAATATCTATCTTTTTTTCTTAAATTTTTTAATATAAAAAAATAAAAGGCATATTTATTTAGAACAACTCAAATATCTCTTAAAAAAACATAACATGTTGGAGGGAGGACTGCTGGTGAGGATCCAAATCCGGGGCAGCAGCCCCCCTAGCATCCCGTCCGCTATAATAAAAAGATTATTAATTTTATATTTTAATACAGTAAAAATTAATCCTTTAATACAGTAAAAATTAATCCTTAACGTTTATATAAAACTTTGGAGCGATCAGCGAATCTCAATCTGTCCAACCCGACTGAACTAACCCTTTCAATCTGTCCAACCCGACTGAACTAGCCCAAGTAATCAAACATTTTGAGCCGACGTGTGATATTTGGTGGAGAGATGGGGATCCGAAAATCTGAATTTGGCGGACGTGAGTCGGGGGATTCCAATGAGAGTTGCAGTATTCCTAGCATTACTATTCCAAAGCTATCTCTCACTCTACTCTCTCCCTCTCCAAACCCTAACCCTAGTCTTCTGCATATCCTGGGTTCGGCCGGCACTGTCTCCATTCTTCGAACGGCGGCTACTATTTTGCTAATTCGGAAATCAGCCCCTGATTTTTTGTTGAAATCAGCACTTGGTGGTTCTGTGATTACCTCTTCAAGGTGGTTCTGATTGGAGACTTAGGTGTTGGCATGTCCATTTGCTTTCAAGATTCACTAGGAATGAGTTCAGCCTCGAATCCAAGTCTACAATCGGTGTTGAGTTCGCTACCAGAAGCTTGAATGTTGATGGCAAAGTCATCAAAGCTTATATTTGGGACCCAAGAAAGGTGATTTTTTAACTTTTTAGTTTTAATTTCTGATGTGGGTTTTCTGTATACTCTGTAGATTTGTGTCTTTGTGAAGCTATGTATGCTTTTCTGGTTATATTTTGATATAGGGTTTGTATTTGTTTGTCTGTTTTGTGAGTTTCTTAACTAGGATTTGGGCATTTCTTGCCAAGAAACGTGTTTTTTAAACTATTAGTTCGATTTCTTGATCTGGGTTTTCTTTCAACTTTGTAGATTTGTGCCTTTGTGAAGCTATGCATGCTTCTCTGATTATATTTTGATTTAGGGTTGTATTTGTTTGTCTGTTTTGCGAGTTGCTTAAGTAGAATTTGGGCATTTCTGGCCAAGAAAGGTGTTTTTATTTATTTATTTTTTTGTCATATTTTGTGAACTGAGGATTTGGAAAGATCTGAATGTGGGCTGGTTGTGTTGTGGAGGTATTTTCTATTTGGTGAGTTGGGTTGGTTTGATTAGGATTTAATTGGTGTGAATAGATCTGGAGGGTTTTGGCTGCGATTATAACAATCTGAAAAAAAATAAAAAAGTGAAAAACAGAGGATGAAAAGAGATACAAAGTGAAAGAAGTTAAAACTTGTAATGTTCAAACCGCCAAATTGATATGCATCCATCTACCAATCCGTTAACTCGCTCAATCCGCATTTGCCAATCCGGCGAACGGCTGCGGATTGATTTTTTTCAATCCGCATAGTGTTAGACGGATGGCGGATTGGAGGTCCCCCGACTGCAACTGACTCGCGAGCGCCCCCCCTGTTGGAGATTGAGGTGTGGTTGGTGTGTTTCTGAAATGTTTTGTGCGGATGGGGGTGTGATTGGATTCAGGTGTAGTGATGTCTGTGTTCGTGTAGAATGGGAGGAGTTGTTTGGACATGATAATAGAGAGGCTTGGGTAACCCAATTTTTGTTTGGATCTTTCTTTTGCAGGTAAATTACACTTTGCTCTTTTATATTTGGCCATTTTTTTTACTTTGCTCTTAAAGTGTTTTTTTTGTCCCCCTTTCATTTTGGCCTTTCATGTTTCAAAATTTTTTCTGTTTATTCGTGAAGATAACTTATGTTTAAATTAGGTAAAAAAATGCCATGTTAGCTACCACATGGCATAAAAATATATTATTATATTAAAATTTGATTTGTGTTCAGAGGTGTGAGTTATATATAATAAAATATTGTGGTTTGGCCATCAATGTGTAATTTTCTGTCTAATTTTGGATATAAGTTAATTTTTTGAGTAAATTATAAAAAAATTAAAACATGAAGGGTCAAAGTGATTTTTTTTTAAGAGTCGAAATAAAAAAAATGGTCAAACATAAAAGGGTGAAGTGTAATTTATCATTCTTTTGCTGTAAAAGTTGAACTATGGCTTTGGATTATTGGGTTAGATATCAGCGGCAAACATATTAAACTTTTTGTCAGTTTGATTCAACTCGTTAAATGCCCAATTTATTAAGTAAACAATCATGAATTCGAGTTAGATATTTAAACTTATTTAATTAATAAACAAGTTAAACTCCAATTATCATGTTCATATTTATTTAAATAATATGAATAATTATAAACAAAATTTATTATCTAGTTTGGAGTCTAACTGTTCTTTTGGGGACACAAGAAATAAATTGCATATTAATTTATTGGCTTATTTTTATAACATCACCTCTTTACTTTTTTGCTTTTCGTAATAAGAAAAAAGTCAATTTATAAATCATACCCAAAACAACCCTAACTTAAACTTGTTTAATGTTAATGCATTATGCTAAGCTTAAATTAGATCCGTTATCCACGTACGAGTTGGAATTTTTGAACTCCATGAGCAAACAAGCTCAAGTAGTAGTTTTGTTCGATTCGTTTGCCAGTCAAATCGAATAGACTTTACGACGTTGTTTTAGGTTTGTTAATTTAAGGGTAAATTACACTTTGCACCCTTGCACCTTGCACCTTGCACCAAATCTCACTTTGGCTCCTACACATGAAATCATGACGGTCAGGTCAACCCCCTGCACTTCTAGTCAAATCCCACTTTGGTCCTATACATGAAATCGTGATAGTCAATCCCTTGCATTTTTTTTCAAATCTCACTTTGGTCCCTACATAAATGTCAATGTTCCTTTTTTAAATTTTTAACAAAATTCAATTATGTGACAAAAATGTGACTACAAAATAAGGGTAAGAGAGAAAAATCATTTATGTTTCCCACTATTACACTTTATTCTATGTGATAAGCACGTGAGAGTTATATAATACAATATATATATGTTCGTATGGTAAAAGTTGGAACAAAGAGGTAAGAAAATAGAGCTTTTGAAATAATAAAAAATGCGATAAAGAAATCAAAGAGAAAGGAAGATGAATAGACAAAAGACTATGTTAACGTGAAGAATAGAGTTTTGTGATTCTAATTTATGCAAAACCTTAGTTCATTTTCTTAATCGTTTACGATTTACATTTTGTTTTAGCTTAATATAGTCATAATTTGATGTAAATTTTGGGATAAACTGTGTATTGGTGGACAATATTATTTCCTCCTTACCCTCATATCGTAGTCATATTCTTGTCACGTGACTAGATTATGTTAAAGAATTAAACAATTGAGTAACAGAAAGAGGACATTGACACTTGTGTAAGGACGAAACTGATATTTGATCAAAAGTATAGGGGGTTGACTGTCACAATTTTATGTATAGGGAGTAAAGTAGGATTTGAATAGAAGTGTAGGGGATTGACTGTCATGATTTTATGTGTAGGGGTCAAAGTGGGATTTGGTGCAAAGGGTAGGTGTGCAAAGTGTAATTTACCCTTAATTTAAAGTAAATCTCCGCCTTTGAACCTTGTTGTTCCTCCTTCCACTGCAAGGCCATAGACGATCCACACAGGTTCTTTCATCTCACCTCAGCTTATTAACCAATTTGTTACTAATTTTTCATTTTAATTACTCTGCAGACTCTGTCTCTCTTACTCACCTCTCTGTTCTACTTCTATAATTTTTCACTTGTATGCTCTTTCTCATCACTCAACTGCAGATCTCGTTGCAGCTCTTCGTTGTTGACAGATTCACCAAGGATTTGACGAATCTCGTTGCAGGTAGTTTGTTTATATGTGCAACTTGAGCTAATTAGAGTGTTAATCATGATGTAGAAATCATTTATTGAAATAATATTAATCGAAGGCTTTCCTTGTTTGGCACTGTTGGTTTAAGTTTCAAGTTGGTTTATAGTATTAATTCAAGACTTTTATACCTGTATTTAAGCTTGTGAGTTTGGAAATAATTAAAAACTTATAGCCTGTGTAGCTATAGATGTTAGCTTAAATTGCTTAGTATTTGTATATCCTGAAATAACTGTTTCACTGGAACAGTCCTGAGATTTGTATAAAATACGAATTGCCCCTTATAGTTTTGAAAATTACATCCTGCCCTGTGAAGTTTATAATTTTATAACAAATGACCAATTTTTTCAATAAATCAACAAGTCAATTAATAGTTTTTAATGATATCAGAAATATATTTTAATTTTATAATTCAACTAATTTTATTATTGTGTAGGAGAGCAGTTAAGAATTTCATTTTTTCAATTAATTATGTTAAATAAAAAATTCTTACAATGGGGTATTTGTAATTTTTCAAATTCTAAATTACAGGGGGCAATTCGTATTTTAAATAATCATCAGGGAGTGTATTTCTAATTCACCCTATTACTAGGCAATATTGATTGGTTCGTAGTTGGAAGAATATTAGACATGTATATAATGAATAATATATATGACATTTATTTTATTTACTTACTCCTCTAGTCTCTACTGCAAAACTGTCTTAGCAAAGTTGTTTGGGATGATTTAAATAAGTGTTCTTTTTGACATTTTACGAAAAGATGTGCAGAGAAGTAGAGAGGTGATGTGACCCAAAAAAAATAAAAAGATAAAAAAAGTGTGCTTATATAGCACACCCGAAACAAGAGTGTTTAGCAACAAAATGGAAGATGATTTTGTTGAAAAATTTAGGATAGGGTAAATCATCGAAGACTGTTGGGATTTGAAGGAACATTGAGTTCCATCATTTTGATAGATGATTAAGTTGAAATTTACAAAGAACAAATTGTTGTATGATAATTCTTTATTAATTTGTTGTTAATGTGAATAGATAATGGTTTTATCTTTTATGTAGTAAACTAGCATTAAATCTTGGTTTATTTTCCATTCTTGAATTGGAATCTGATAGCTTATATCAATTGGTAAAAAAATATTATGCATGTCTTGTTTCAGAGAGATGAAATGCAAGTTCTGTCCCTGAGTGCATAGTTAGAGGGAAGGGTGAAAATTGATGAGATCAACAAGAAAAATTCTTGCATTTTCAATTCGGAATGTGCTAAATACACCCAAAAAATTCTCTCCACATCCATCAATTCAGGATGGTTGTTTGGGCTAGTAAGAGTGTAACCGTAGAGGTTGGTGGTAGTTGGTGGCTTTTAAGTGGGAAATGTTGGAACCACTGATAGTTTTGATAATCTTGGGGTAGACTGGATATTGTGTGGTACGGTTTATATTTGTTTGATTGAAGTGATTATGTGGCATTAAATTACTAGTTATTATAAATCTGGTGTAGTTATATTCTGACATTCCTGAACATTTCCTTTAAAAAAAAGATTAGCATCATCAGCAACGAAAATGTGGGAGAACAGTAGGCAAGATCTCTTAATTTTGAACAAGAAATTGCATTGTTGAAAACAATTTAGAAGGCACATTGGCAACACGTAGAAAAAAGTATGAGGACAAAGGGTCTTCTTGACGAAGACTTCTAGAGGCCTCTAGAGGGAAGTAATGAAGCTTACTTTTCTCAATTTGCAACCGCCAAGTAGGAAAATGTTGAGACACTATACACAACCCATTGCACTAGAGCTTCTTCCATGTTCCTGGGGCCAGAGCTTTGAAGCAATTGCAAAAGAAACCTGAATATGCACATTGATGTCTTCATTCAAATTGAACCAAACTCCACTGCTGTCATTCACCCTGATGAAATGATTCTGTTGGCATCTCTAGGTTACAATTGCATGAAAGAAAGGTCATACTTTAGCCATCAGAGTCGAGAGCATTGGTGAAAAGACATTTCTTGCCTTTTCATAAGAGTCTCCATTTCAGATTTCAGCATCTCTTGGCCCTGAAGGTTAAGCTGAATATCAGCGAACTGAGACTTTATATTAGTAACTTTAATCTTATTATTTCCAAAAGTCATCTCAACTCCACGTTTAAGGCTACTCTGACACCTTTTGAGCTTTTGAGAAAGCTTAAATATAAGGGAACTAGCTTGAACGGCCTGCCACTTAGATTGAATAGCATCCTTGCATTCAGAATTAGTCGACCAAATACTTTCAAATTTAAACAGTCTAGAGACTTTTTAGGGGGAATACTTGTAATAACCCATATTCTTGTCTTAGTTATGTTCATGTGCACTCGCATGATTTTGTCTTGTTAAGTTTGCATTTGTAGACTTTGACTTGTTTTGCCTAAGTAAACGTTCCTGTCTTGTTTTGTGCTTATGTGTTTTGCCTAAGTATTATATGCATGCTTTGTTCCTTGCTTGCTGTTTCAAGCCTAGGTCATGTCAAGCCTAGGTCATGTTAAGCCTAAGTCATCTCAAGCTTATGTCACACCTTTGAACCTCTCACACCTAGGCCATTGCACGCCAACACCTAGGATTACATTGGAATCACTTTGGTTGACCTTCACCTTCACCCTGGCATATTGGACGAGATGTCATCACCCAGGCCGAGATGTCATCACCTAGGCCGAGATGTGTATCATCTAGGCCGAGATGTTATCATCTAGGCATCCTAGATCTTTGATCCCTGCACCTAGTGATCTTGTTCCTGGACTGGTATGACCTAGGCCGAGGTGTGGCAAATCTAGGTCAAGGTGTGGCACAGCTAGGCCAAGTGTTATCCTTCCTAGCCGAGATCATTGAGATCTTACTTGCCGAAACCTATGTCTTGATCTGAGATCCTTACCTTGTCAGAGTGCCCATGTCATCTTACTTGTTGTACACACTTTGTCATATCCTTGTCTTTTCATTCAGTCACCTTGTGAGAAGATCCAACCAGACGTTGCCATGTGTCCCAACAGAGGGTTAAGTCAGTTAGCAGTGAGAAACCCACATCATTTGCTATATCCTTGCCTTTGAAGAGAGAGAAGCTCTAGGAAGAGGAAGAGAAGTTTAGAGTGAGAGAGGTAGATCCCAAGCTTGATCTTTAGAGTTTGAGCCGTTAGATCCGCGTTTTGAGGTTAGATTCTTGATCTACTCTTGTTGTTCTTTATATTGATCCGATCACATTGCATGATCTAGCATGATACATGAGTCATGCATTGATTTAAAGTTTGGTTTTAGAAAGAGAAAATGGTGTTCTTGTGTTCTTGAAGGAAAATCATGTTTTGATCCGAAAGTTTGTATCAAGATCCATGTTTTTGTGTTTGTTTTCATGAAATCTCCAAGTACGGGTACTCAGGTCCATATTTTTGAACTCATATCATGAAATCTTAGATTTTGAATAAAGAAGTTACGATTTTAGCATTCATGTTTTTCACGTTCATGTTCTTCAAGAGGAAAACTCAGATTTTCCAGACTTCATTTGCCTAAGTGTGGCTGCCGAGACCCACTCTTGCCTAGATCTCACACTTAGGCCAAGCATTGTATCTCACCTTGGCCTACCTTGCATGATCACTTGCACCTTAGCCTATCTTGCATGCGCACCTAGGCCTAGGAGACCATACCTTGGCCAAGAAGTGTGGGACCTCGTCCAAGACCTGGTTGGTACCCAGCATGTTTTTCCGAAATAAGAAACAGTGTTTTAACTCCCCAGCACATGTTTTGCTTTATCTTGACTTAGTTTTGAAAGAAATGTCGAGATCGTTTACACTCATGTAAGGCTTGTTTTAGGGATGCATTGCATAGCCATCTTTTGAGCATTCCTTCTTGTCTTTTTGAAATGCATTCAGTAAACTTTGCCATGTATTTCTAGGTCTTGAATCCTTGCCTTAATCTCTATAACTGAAGAGCTATGTGAGTGGTATTTTTAATAAAGTTACGTTCTAAAGTTTTGATAAGGCTTTGCTTTGTTTTGGAAAAGTATTTGATCAAGTATGAATGATTATCCCTAGTTTTTGTATCAAGTATTATGTTTGTTTTGATGACATTCTTGAAACGTCCTTTCGTGTTAGGGGACGTTAAGCCTAAATAGCACCTTTGTTGAGATATCTCTTTTGCCACCGATGGTCTTGTACAGGTGGGTTTGTCTAATTGATCTCGGGTCGGCCACCGACGGTCGTGAATAGGTGTGCTTTGATTCCGAGACGATTATTCCCTTGTTTTGCCACTGATGGTTTTTCGCGTGGGTTGTCTAACCGATTCCGGGTCGGCCACCGACGGTCGTGAACGGGTGTGCTTCGATTCCGGGACGGTTATTCCCTTGTTTTGTCCGGAATGTCATCCTTTGGTATTATGTAGATGTTATTAACATCTAAGAAGCTTTGAAAGACTTTGATTGATGAACTTGATCCCATGCTTTGTACAAGTTATTATATGCATTGTTTTGATAAAGATATCGGATATCATTCATTCAAACTTTTATTAATTATATTTTTCATTGAGTATCCAAGCTTACCCTCTCCTTATATATATATATGTAGGTGGCAAGTAAGAAGGTGGTGATGCCTAAGATGTTCTTTGCAAGATGTTTTGATTAATGTTTTGTATTATCTTGAAGATTATGCTTCTTAGTTGTGATTCATTTATTTTGTATATTTCGGCTTGAGAAGTCTTTTGATCAAGATGTAATATGTACTCCATTTTATTTTGTATTCAAGTTGTAAAACCATGTTAAGATGTATGTCATTTCATTTGATCTATGCACAGCTCTTATGGACTACTTAGATTTAAATTTATTGCTTCCGCACATGTAAATCACATATGTATACTCTGATTGTGTGTGAATCTTTGTAAGTTGGCCTTTGGTAATCTCGGATTACTGGCCATCACGACACCATTCTACTAGGGGCAGAATGGGGTCGTGACACAATGGTATCAGAGCACAAATTCCTTATAGTACGTTGTTCACACACTTTGAGTCCTAAAGAGCATAGGATTTCCCTTAGAATGATTTTAGGATTGCACCATAGTACTTGTTACTTGACAAGATGTGCATCACCTCGGCATGATCATTTGTTACTTGCATACATATCTATTTGTTCATTTTGTTTAAAAAGTCACATTTTGCATACTCCTAGCATCATGAGAAGGGGTAGACCTCCAGTTAGCCGAGATCAATCCGAGGACAGGTTAGACAGATTAGAAAGGATGGTAGAGGATTTGGCCCATGAGTTGAGCTAAGCAAGGCAACAAAACACAAGCACTACATCTACTCAGGCCGAGCAGACAGATGGCCGACGTGAAGTTCCACCTCTACCTCCTCCAGTACCACAAGTGCCTCCGCAGCCAGCTTTGTATGGGGATGGCACGTTGACCTTGATTAAAGAATTCAAGAAGATGAATCCGCCGAAGTTCCAAGGAGGTATAGAGCCGATGAAAGCAGAAGCATGGGTCCTTGAGATGGAGAAGTTGTTCGAGATTTTTCCCAGCATCGACGCTCAGAAGGTGTCATTGGCAGCATTCACGTTAGAAGACGACGCACGAAGATGGTGGATGATGATTCGAGAAGGTAATCCAAACTTGACTTGGGCCAGATTTTTGGAATTGTTCTATGACAAGCACTTTTCCCTCAGTGTCTGAGATCGCAAGACCACAGAATTTCAGATGTTGACACAGGGCAACAAAACAATGGCCGAATATGATCGTGCTTTCACCGAGTTGGCAAGGTATGCACCACACATGGTCAACAACGAATACAGAAAAGCTAGGAAGTTTGAGAGTGGGCTACGAGGGCCAATACAAGATCAGGTTAATTTGCTCAACATGCCGACGTAAGCTGGAGTGTTAGATAAAGCCATCCTTGCAGAAGCCAACCTGAACAGAAGTCACAGTTCGGGGAAGAATTAGAGGAAGAGGCAGACCTATGACAATCGCAAAGAAGAGGCAGACCCGAATGATGCCGAGGAGAAGACAGAGGTGGACAGTCCCAACAACGCGAATCCGAGAGGTGGCACCAGGCTGACATGTGCAAGTTGCGGGAAGCTACATTTTGGGGTTTGTCTTCGGACAACTGGAGCATGTTTCGGATGTGGTGACATGGGTCATCGCATTAAGGATTGTCCTAAGATAAAAGCTAGAGATGATAAGAAGAGATGAGAATCCGACATTCGGAGTTGTTTTGGGGAGCATGGAAAGTTGAGTTTGGAGGACCAAACTTCTTTAAGGGGGGAAGGATGTAACAACCCATATTCATATCCTAGTAATGTTTGCATGCATTTATATAATTCTGCCTTGCTAAGTTTGAATTCATGAATCTTGCCTTGTTTTGCTAAGTGTGTTGCATGCTTTGTTCCTCCCTTGGTGTCTCAAGCCTAAGTTATGTTAAGCCTAGGTCATGTTATGCCTAGATCATTCTAAGTCGAGGTCATCTTTAGTCTAGAATTTATCTTGGAACCCCTTTGTTTGACCTCCACCTTCGCCTTGACATATTGGCCGAGATATCATTATCTAGGCCGAGGTGTTCATCACCAAGGCCGAGATGTGTATTATCTAGGCCGAGATGTTACCTTGC